CCAGAATGATGACCAACAACTCCCTATCTCCAATCTGGTAGTTGCACTCTGCAGAGGAAAGCTTCCTGGAGTAGAACCCGCAGGGAAGTAGGGGTCCATCGGGCGACCGACGCTGAGACAGGAGAGCCCCTACTCCCGTCTCGGAAGCATCAACCTCGAGGATGAAGGGCAACCCAGGATTGGGATGAGAAAGAATCGGAGCCAAAGCAAAGGCGGCTTTCAGAGCCTCAAAAGCTACGATGGCCTCGGATGGCCACTTGTGAGGGTTACTCCCCTTCTTGGTTAGGTCAGAGAGAGGCTTGCCAATGTGGAGAAGTTCCTGATGAACTTCCGATAGTAGTTGGCAAAACCCAGAAAGCGCTGAATGGGCCGAAGACCATTGGGACGAGGCCACTGCAAAATCGCCGCAACCTTCTGAGGGTCCATGGAGAATCCTTCCGCGGAAATGATGTTGCCCAAAAAGGCAACTTGGGATCGATGGAACTCGCACTTCTCAAGTTTACAAAAGAGTTCGTTCTCACGTAATCGTTGCAGCACCCGCTTGACATCCTGGATATGGGACTCCATGGAGGTAGAGTAAACCAAGATGTCATCCAGGTAAACCACCACACACTGCTGCAACAAATCACGAAGGACATCGTTAATGAATTCCTGAAAAAAACCGCGGGTGCGTTACACAACCCAAAGGGCATCACCAGGTATTCATAGTGCCCGCTTCTGGTGTTTAAACGCGGTCTTCCACTCCTCCCCCTGTCTGATCTGTACGACTTTGTACGCCGCCCTAAGGTCGAGTTTGGTAAAGACTGTTGCTCCCTTAACAACTCAGAAATCAAAGGAATTGGGTATGCATTCTTAATGGTAATCTGATTGATTGAGACCCCTATAATCGATGCAAGGCCTCAATTCCCCACCTTCCTTCTCTACGAAAAAAAAAAAACCTGCTCCTGCTGGAGAAGTAGACTTACGAATGTGCCCCCGGGAAAGCACATCCACAACGTACTCCTCCATGGCCTTATTCTCCGCAACCGAGAGAGGGTACACCCTGCCACGCGGAGGGATATGGCGCAGTCATAAGGATGATGCGGCGGTAAGGGTAAGGCACCAGCGCGTACCTTATCAAACACGTCCAGGTACTCCCCATAGTCGGTGGGGGCAACGCAGAGTCCGAGGTCCGAGGAGGGCACACAATACCTTAACCGGCCCACGGATGCACCCGGCCCCACACTGTGGAGACCATGAGAGAATCTCGGCTGTTTGCCAATTGAAGGTTGGATTGTGCCTCTCTGGAGCCAGGGATACCCCAAAACCACGGAATAGTGTGGGGAAGAAATCACCTGAAAACAGGCCAACTCCCTGTTGTGGTGGTTTATGTAAGGATTTATTCTATTTATGAAGGGCGGTGTCCCTTTCCCTTAGATGAAATATTACAGTGCCTCCAGCCGTTAAAATACGGCAAATATTTAGTGAACCAATAATTTGGACACCTTGATAATTTAATCACCACTTATGATTATACCTTGAATCCTTTTAGCCAGTATGATTTCGTACCATACACACAAAATTTGCCTTATAATAGATAAATATATAAATTTATTTATGTACAAAAATTATATATATATTTAACACAAAAACGCAAAAGACTGGTGATGAATGGATACTGGTACACACGGTCAAAGATATACTATACCAATATTATACACAATACAGTATTTCTAAATAATGATAAACAAGATTACGATTTTTCTAGATGATGATAAAGATTAAAATTTAAATTTAGTAATAACTGATAATTTAGAGTATCTCAGAGGTCATTTTTCTCACATAACGTGGCCATGAATGGGAGAAAAATATTCCCTGATAAATTATACTCTAATAAAATTTAATAATTTATGAAATCTGAAAAATTTTCAATATGACACCATCAATATCTAACAGTAATACAGGATCTCCCTATATATATATGTGTGAACACCCAATGCAGTTGTTATCACTCTAAGGTAATTCTTATCACTCTAAATAACAGAGGAAATATGCAATACAAAATTAGATATAGACAGTCTCACCACACCCAGAACTTGGACTATGACACCTTCCGGTGGGTTCAGCTGGCAATGGACACGCCTTCAGAATGATGGCCACAGGGACAAGTGATGGATATGTAGTATAGTAGAGATTCAGAGGTTTAGAAGTTTAGTAGAAAGTTTAAAAAGTTTGAAAGGATGAAAGAGTGGTTATTCAGCAGGGATGGATTTCAGCCTCTTCAGATTTCTTCAGCTTCTTCAATCAGTTTTCAGTCAGGTTCTTTTTTTTTCTCAGTGAGGTTTTCAGTGAGGGTTTTTCAGTGAGGGTTTTTTTTTTTAAATGAGTTGCATGGCTTTTTATACCATCTAAACTATTGTTCTAGAAGATCCTCCCAACAGGCTTTTTGATTGGCCGGTCGAGAAATGTATGTACCTAAGCTATCTCTCACCTGTCCACTAGGTGGCGGTCAGGGCTCATAGAACAATTTGAGTATTTATGATGACTCACACCTCGGGTCGGTGGAACCCAAGGTGATTTCAGGTATTAAAATATACGTCTTATCCAGATATATATTTGATTATACCTATAATGTTCTGGATAGAACTATAGAAGATATATGTATATTCAGTTATTCATTTCCCTGAGATACAATTGAGATTGAAATAAAGTTATGTTTTTGATAAATCTCAAAAGGCACTACACTGTGAACAGCCCCAACGGCTACCTCTATCGGCAGAGTCTCGTGGGTAACCTGCGGCGGTTGCAGGGGCCTGCCATCTATTGCTTCAAGAACCAATGGGGTAGCACGAGCCTGCAGAGGAATGGAGTGCTGTGCAGCAAACGAGCTGTCCAAGAACAACCCACCGGCCCCAGAATCTACCAACGCCTGGGCCGTCACCGAGCCCTCCATCCAAGAAAGGACAACGGTGATCAGTGGCTTATCCTTGCGGAATGCCGGGGACGAGGAAACTCCACCCGAGATCTGTCCCCGACATGATCTCAGGTGCGAGCGTTTCCCGGACGGACCGGACAAGACTGCCGAAAGTGCCCACCGAGGCCACAGTACAGGCAGCGACACTCCCGACGCCGAGCGGCCCGCTCTCCCTCGGAAAGGCGAGCAAACCCCAGCTGCATGGGCTCCCCACCAGAAAAGCTATCCCCAGGAGGCGTGGGAGGAGAGGAAGGAACGGGTGGGACAGAAAATGCAGGTGCCAGTCGATTGGAAGGCCTCCGCAGGCGTTCCTTAAGTGAAGGCCTCTCCCTGAGCCTGGTGTCAATCAGGATCAGGAAAGAGATGAGCTCCTCCAACTCCACAGGCAGTTCCTTAGCTGCAATCTTGTCCTTCAATGTGTCAGAGAAAGACCATGGGAAAACGCAGCCGCCAGAGCCTCATTGTTCCAACCCACCTCTGTCGCCAGGGTATGAAACTCTATGGCGTATGGCGTACTCGGCCACGGTCCGTCATGAACCCTGATGCGGAACGAGCCAGTACGTCGAATACCCTGCGGAAGGCATCGACAAAACCGGAAAAATCTTGAATCACCGGGTCGTTCCTCTCCCATAAGGGATTTGCCCAGGCCAAGGCCTTGTCTGAGAGTAGTGAAATTAGGAACCCCACCTTTGACCTCTCAGACGGAAAGGCGTGGGGTATTAGTTCAAAATAAATACCCACCTGGTTGAGGAACCCACGACACTGCCTCGGCTCACCCCCAAAGCGCTGTGGAAGAGGGGCAGAACCAGTCATACCTCTGGGCGCCGCCGATGCAGCAGCCGAGGTGGTGGACGCAACAAGCGGAGAAGCAGCGGGAGAGACCACCGGAGTGACTACCGGCCTGATAGCACCAGGAGCAAGGTGTGCAGTGCGTGCAAGCAGAGTTTGCAACGCCTGAGCGAACTGATCCAACAGGTGATCCTGTTGATCGAGTCTGGCGACTAGCGTTGGGAGCGAAAGCGTGCCTGCACCGTCAGGGTTCATGGCACTTGTGTAATGTCAGGGCAGGAGCTGAGGAACGGACAGGCAGGCCTAAACAATGTAACGCACTGGCTGACGACAACCACCACCCACAAACCGAAGTCCCTCAGGGCACGGAGTCTAAGTCCCAGGCTGCCCTTCACCAGGGCCCCTGATGGTGGGGATGGACTTGACGCAGCCAGGAACCAGGTCGCGGCCCCCGAGACACCTCTGTTGCGGTAATGGCCACCGCCAATGGCGTGTAGCTGGTGGAAAAGATAATAGAGTAGTCAGGCAGGCCGGGTCGACAACAACGGGACAAAACGGTACAGGACAGCAGACGAGAATCACAGGTCACGAGCCGTGTTCAGCAACAGGGTCAGATCAAAGGAGAACACAAAGAATAGTCGAGTCACAAGCCGAGTCAGATTCCAGGAGAGTCACGAGAGTCAGAACAGAGTAATAGCAACACAAAGACACAAGACACAAGTGCAAAGAGCATGTGCGAACCATAGGCTTATATGTCATCCTCTCGGGGATGGACCTCAGAGACCTGAAGGCATAAAGGATTCCCACCATGCTCAGCAGAAATCCAAGATGGATGCCAGCACATGGAGTAACATAACCTCTGGGAAAAGGTAGGACCTTGACACCAGTCCTGCTTCTCATCATTCCTCTGCTCAAAGCTTTCTTCCTGCGCTCCCGACAGTACCCCCAATGACAGCCCAGTATACCCTGCTAGCTACCACATGTCAGTCCCCTGTTCCCACTCGCTGCACCTATCCTGCCTTTAACCCTGTAAAGAAGTCCTCTGTAGCAACTGCTCCGTCCTTTGTTCCTTCCCCAGCTCTTCTCTGCCTACAGCTGCTCTATCAGTTTACAAACCTGCGCTTACTTACAGTGCTCCAGTAACTAAAACCAGGAAAAGGTGAAAATTCTTTCCAACCAGTACCATCCTGCCAGTATCCAAACCGGTCAGTCTGCTGTCTGAGAACCCGCCTTCCATGGTTCAGCCTGATACCCTGATGCCTGATGACCCAGTGTACGCTACCCAGCCTGATGGTTCTGCCCGGCCTGATGGTTCTGCCCGGCCTGATGATCCTATCATGCCAGATGACTCATTGCCCACTGTCGAGCTTGGTGACCCTGTGCCCGCGGTTCTGCCAAATGACTCGGTGCCCGCTGTCGTGCCAGATGACTCGGTGCCCGCTGTCGTGCCAGATGACTCGGAGCCCGTTGTCGTGCCAGATGACTCATTGCCCGCTGTCGTGCCAGATGACTCGTTGCCCGCTGTCGTGCCAGATGACTCGTTGCCCGCTGTTCTGCCAGATGGCTCGGTGCCCGCTGTCGTGCCCGATGGCTCGGTGCCCGCTGACTTGCCCGGTGACTCGGTGCCCGCTGACTTGCCCGGTGACTCGGTGCCCGCTGTCGTGCCAGATGACTCGGAGCCCGCTGTCGTGCCAGATGACTCGGAGCCCGCTGTCGTGCCAGATGACTCGGAGCCCGCTGTCGTGCCAGATGACTCGTTGCCCGCTGTTCTGCCAGATGACTCGTTGCCCGCTGTTCTGCCAGATGACTCGGTGCCCGCTGTCGTGCCTGATGGCTCGGTGCCCGCTGACTTGCCCGGTGACTCGGTGCCCGCTGACTTGCCCGGTGACTCGGTGCCCCCTGTCGTGCCAGATGACTCGGTGCCCACTGTCGAGCTTGGTGACCCGGTGCCCGCGGTTCTGCCAGATGACTCGGAGCCCGCTGTCGTGCCAGATGACTCGGTGCACACTGTAGTGCCAGATGACTCGGCGCCCGCTGTCGTGCCAGATGACTCGGTGCCCGCTGTCGAGCTTGGTGACAAGGTGCCCGCGGTTCTGCCAGATGACTCGGAGCCCGCTGTTGTGCCAGATGACTCGGAGCCCGCTGTCGTGCCAGATGACTCGGTGCCTGCTGTCGTGCCAGATGACTCGGTGCCTGCTGTCGTGCCAGATGACTCGGTGCCCGCTGTCGAGCTTGGTGACCCGGTGCCCGCGGTTTTGCCAGATGACTTGGAGCCCGCTGTCATGCCAGATGACTCGGTGCCCGTTGTCGTGCCAGATGACTCGTTGCCCGCTGTCATGCCAGATGGCTTGGTGCCCGCTGACTTGCCCGGTGACTCGGTGCCCGCTGACTTGCCCGGTGACTCGGTGCCCGCTGTCGTGCCAGATAACTCGGTGCCCGCTGTCGAGCTTGGTGACCCGGTGCCCGCTGTCGAGCTTGGTGACCCGGTGCCCGCTGTTGTGCCAGATGACTCGGTGCCCGCTGTCAAGCTTGGTGACCCGGTGCCCGCGGTTCTGCTAGATGGCTTGGTGCCTGCGGTTGTGCCAGATGACTCGGTGCCCGGTGACTCGGTGCCCGCTGTCATACCAGATGACTCGGTGCCCGCTGTCAAGCTTGGTGACCCGGTGCCTGCGGTTCTGCTAGATGGCTCGGTGCCCGCTGACATGCCCGATGACTCCGTGCCTGCTGTCGTGCCAGATGACTTGGTACCCGCTGTTGTGCCAGATGACTTGGTGCCCGCTGTCGTGCCAGATGACTCGGTGCCTGCTGTCGAGCTTGGTGACTCGGTGCCCGCGGTTCTGCCAGATGACTCTGTGCCCGCTGTCGTGCCAGATGACTCTGTGCCCGCTGTCGTGCCAGATGACTCTGTGCCAGATGACTTTGTGCCCGCTGTCGTGCCAAATGACTCGGTGCCCGCTGTCGTGGCTTTGCCCGCTGCCCAGCCGGACGTGCCTCTGCCCGCTGCCTAGCCGGACGTGCCTCTGCCCACTGCCCAGCCGGACGTGCCTCTGCCCGCTGCCCAGCCGGACGTGCCTCTGCCCGCTGCCCAGCCGGACGTGCCTCTGCCCGCTGCCAGCCGGACGTGCCTCTGCCCGCTGCGCAGCCCGATGTGCCTCTGTCCACTGCGCAGCCTGATGTGCCAGCCTCTGATGTCCAGCTAAACTGGCCAATAACTGATTCCCACCCAGCTCCTGGAAATCCTGTGTCCAGCGACCTACCTTCCTTGGGTTCCCCAACATAAAGAGAAGTCTGCCAGCAGGAAACCCAGCCAGCCGGTTGACTCCGGCAGTAAGATATCCAGCCAGTTACCTGACCCGGGCGGTGGAACATTTTGCCCACTAAGGACTGTTTGGAACGTCCTGAGGCCGGGGGGGAGGTACTGTCAGGAATGGACTCAGCACTGGTGGTGGGACTCACCTGTATTGTGGGCTGCAGTACCAGGGCTGACCAGCGGGTGCTCTCAGCAGCCAGAAGCTCACTCCTGCAGTCAGCCAACACCTGAAGCTGATTGCAGGAAGTGTATTTAAGGAATGACCAGGCCTGTGATCAGGGCCTTGGTGTATGTTTCCCATTAGCCTCTGTACCTGGTATCCTGTGTTCCTGCCTCGTTGCGGACTCTGCTTTGATCCTGACCGTCTCCTGTTCAACCCCTGGCTTGCCTGACCATCCTTCTGCCTGATCCTTGGTACCGCGCTGCCCACTACCTGCTGAACCTGGCTTGTGACCCCAACCATTCTCTGCTTGCTCCTCCTGTACCACGCTGCCCACACGATACCGACCCGGCCTGTCTGACTACGCTTACTTCACCCGATGATCCATCCATCCCGCACGGATCACCTTTAGTAAGTCTGCCTGCCTCTTCCCATCAGACTCCGTTCCTGCACTCCCCTGCCCGTGCTCTCTACCACAGCCGGACGCACTCAGGGGTCGCGACCTGGTTTCAGTCTGCACCAAGTCCATCCCCACCATCAGGGGCCCTGGTGAATAGCAGGCTGGGACTTAGACCCCGTGACCTGAGGAAATTCGTGCTGTGGGCTTGGCCTGCCTGACCGCTCCACCTCTCCAGCCCTGACTGCACTGGTACCTATTAGTTTAAGGTTTATTGCACCTGGTTGTACATATTTATGTAAGTGTTGAGTTTGGTTGTTTGCACTGCGTTTATGTTTGTGTTGCCTTTAATAAATTATATTGTGTTACACGCTATACCTGAAGTCTGTGTTTCCCTGTGTCGGTCCACACACCTCTGGTCATACCTGGAGCCCTGACAGCTCGTTTGCGGAAGGAAGCATGAAATGCTCCAAAATCTCCTGGTAGACGGCTGCGTTGACCCTGGAATTAATGAAGCACAGTGGACCAACACCAGCAGATGACATGGCTCCCCAAATCAACACAGACTGTGAAAACTTTACACTGGACTTCAAGCATCTTGCAGTGTGTGCCTCTCCATTCTTCCTCCATACTCTGGGTCCTTGGTTTCCAAATGAGATGCAAAAGTTGCTCTCATCAGAAAAGAGGACTTTGGACCACTGAGCAACAGACCAGGTCTGTTTTTCTTTAGCCCAGGTAAGATGCTTCTGACTTTGTTTGTTGTTCAGGAGCGACTTGACAAGAGGAATACAACATTTGAAGCCCATGTCCAGGATCCGTCTGTGTATGGTGGCTCTTGATGCACTGACTCCAGCCTCAGTCCACTCCTTGTGAAAGTCCCCAACACTTTTGAATGGCCTTTTCTTGACAATCCTCTCCAGGCTGCGGTCATCTCTGCTGCTTGTGCACCTTTTTTCTTTCACACTTTTACCTTACACATAACTCTCTATTAATGTGCTTTGATACAGCACTTTGGGAACATCCAACTTCTTTTGCAATTACTTTTTGAGGCTTTCCCTCCTTATGGAGGGTGTCAATGATGGTTTTCTGCACAACTGTCAGGTCAGCAATCTTTCCCATGATTGTGATTCCTACTGAACCAGACTGAGAGACAATTTAAAGGCTCAGGAACCCTTTGCAGGTTTTATGACTTAATTAGTTGATTAGAGTGGGACACTTTGATCCTAGAATATTGGTTCACCTAAGCTTACCATATGGTGTTTCACTATATCTCCTCTGCGCTCTGGCCAGCTACCAAACAACACTGGGTTCATGAATACTACACTACACCATCTCATTTCTTTGAAAAATGCTAGAGAGACACATCAATGTTGAATCCAATAGTAAATTAACCAGTCAGGGACATTTCATAATGTCTTCCCTCTCCCCAGCTTTTCTATGACTCCATTGTTTTTTCTCCTCTGTTTACTAATGTTATGAGAAGGAAACATGATGCAATGCAGTGGCGAAGCTAAACATTATTTCACCTGGGGCAAAGACTTCATTTGTCCCCCTGCCCCCTTCCCCCCAAAGAGGGGGGTGTCAGTAGGGTAGGGGCTGGTCTCAGTAGGGCAATGGATGGTGTCAATAGGTATTTTTTTTATTTTTTGTGTATTATTTTTTACAATGTTATTATTTTTTTGCAATAATATTTTTTATTATTTACAATTTTAGGAGCTTTGGTGAAAACCTAGGGGTCTAAACAGACCCCTAATGTGTAACTTCTGAGACAAAGAAAGGGACTGAGAACAGAGATTCTCCAGTCCCTTTCTCTGCAGCCTCAGCTGCACTGAACAGTGAATGAATGAGAAGTGCTCTGTGCTGAGCAGCTTCCTGTTTCGTTTACAAACTGAAGCATAGAAAAACATAGTTCCCTATACTTCAGGTATGAATGAACACAGTAAATAATCGGTACTGATCACTCAGTGTGTTCACTCACAAAAGGTAGTGCCTGGTTAATGACATATTTAGTGGCCCCTTGCCCCGCTCTGCATCCTAAAACATCACCTGCAGCAGCTGCAGGTGAGGGAGACCAAGGGAACTCACAGGGAGCCAGGCAGCAAAATGAAGGGGAAGTTGGAGAGGAGGGGTGTCGTGGGTGGCATTTAGCAGAACATATGGACTGAATTTTCTTCTTGTGGCAGTTGAATGCCGAAGGAAGGGAGAAAAGAGGAGAAGTGGACTTTCAACTGCTGCAGGAGGAAAATACAGTCCATTGGTTCCACTGAATGCTGCCCCTCTTCTCCAGGTTCTGATGGGTTGCCAACCCCTAGATTAGGGTGTGCCCAGGCACATCCGGCAAACCCCATGTGCACACCTATGCGACCTGCATACCTCCCAACTTTAGAACTTAAGAATGAGGGACATCTTAGTGACCTGCAGCGTGCCATATGCTCAACTGCAAAAAGTGGGTATGGCCAAAATGTTAATGGTTGGAGGGGCTTAAAGGATAAGTTCACCTTTTGGACAAAAATAATAAATGCACATTTTTTGCAGGTAAAAAAATTGCATTTACTATTTTTATCCAAAGGATAAAGGCAAGGTAGTAGATCAGTAGATCACTGATGCCATGCAGGTCTCCTTCAGACCTGTCAGAATATCTGCTTGCTGTAAAGGGGATGTGCAGCCAAGAAGATATTCTGACAGGAAGCTTTAATGAACTACCACGTACTGTACCACTGCCGTGGTAGTTAATTGAAAACTACAAGCCCACAGCAGCTAAGGCTGTTGGGACTTGCAGTTGATTAATTCAAGTCCGTGAATGAATGATGCGGCTGTGCGGGGCCCTGTCCCGCATGGTCACGCTGTTTTCAATTCTGGCAGATAGTGTGGGCTGATAGTATGGGCTGCAGCATTGGGAACATGTTACATGTTCCACCCTAAAAATGGGTGGAACATGTAACTGTTCCCAAAGGTAAACTTATCCTTTAAGGGGTCATGGTTAAACAAAACCCATGCTTCCTTGCATTTATAAAATATGCTGTGATTGCTTGCACCACCACAAGTAGGAGTCTCACAAGCACATACAAACAGCACAATCATGAAAAAAAACTTCCA